GACTAGAGGGGAATAAAAAGTCGGTCTGTACAAAGGAACAGTCTGCTTGTTTGCCTGTATACACGTGTGTCCAGGGTTGGAGGCCTCGTGCTTGGGGCTAGCCTTTACCCAACTTTTCTGGATGACACTTGGGTGGTGAGTGACTGGCATAGGTCGGCCCTATTGTCTCCCTTTAAGACGAGTCGCTCTTATTGCAACTGCCATGAAGTCTGAAATGGTGCTTTTGTTTTCCACAGTTCTTGAACATTATTCAGCTACTTTTCACATACCCTACGCAAGCATGAACGTTTTTAATGTTCTTCATTTTTTTGAATTAAAAAAGAAAAGTAGCAATAGTAAAAATTCCCTTGAGGTCATGTTGGGTGTTTGCCCCCGTATATTACATGTTCTAGGAGGGAGAGAGAGAGGGGGAGAGAGAGAGAGAGAGAGAGAGAGAGAGAGAGAGAGAGAGAGAGAGAGAGAGAGAGAGAGAGAGAGAGAGAGAGAGAGAGACTTTTGGAGAGGAGAGACGGAGAGAGAGGTGAGGTCTGGAGATGGTCTGGTGTGCTGAAGGTCTGGAGCCATGGTCTGGTGTGGTGAAGGTCTGGAGCCATGGTCTGGTGTGGTGAAGGTCTGGAGCCATGGTCTGGTGTGGTGAAGGTCTGGAGCCATGGTCTGGTGTGGTGAAGGTCTGGAGCCATGGTCTGGTGTGCTGAAGGTCTGGAGCCATGGTCTGGTGTGGTGAAGGTCTGGAGCCATGGTCTGGTGTGGTGAAGGTCTGGAGCCATGGTCACTGAAGGTCTGGAGCCATGGTCTGGGTACTGAAGGTCTGGAGCCATGGTCTGGTGTGGTGAAGGTCTGGAGCCATGGTCTGGTGTGGTGAAGGTCTGGAGCCATGGTCTGGTGTGGTGAAGGTCTGGAGCCATGGTCTGGAGTACTGAAGGTCTGGAGCCATGGTCTGGAGTACTGAAGGTCTGGAGCCATGGTCTGGTGTACTGAAGGTCTGGAGCCATGGTCTGGTGTGCTGAAGGTCTGGAGCCATGGTCTGGTGTGGTGAAGGTCTGGAGCCATGGTCTGGTGTGGTGAAGGTCTGGAGCCATGGTCTGGAGTACTGAAGGTCTGGAGCCATGGTCTGGAGTACTGAAGGTCTGGAGTACTGAAGGTCTGGAGCCATGGTCTGGTGTGCTGAAGGTCTGGAGCCATGGTCTGGTGTGCTGAAGGTCTGGAGCCATGGTCTGGTGTGGTGAAGGTCTGGAGCCATGGTCTGGTGTGGTGAAGGTCTGGAGCCATGGTCTGGAGTACTGAAGGTCTGGAGCCATGGTCTGGTGTGCTGAAGGTCTGGAGCAATATAGTGATAGTGTTTTAACGCCTGTTTGGAATGCCAACGTTTCTCCAATGATTGTGTTGTGTGGTGAAAAATCTTGTAAGTAGAAGGGAAAGGTGTGTAGAGTTTGTTTGCATGTTTGGGTCAATACGTCAGTACGAGGCCGTCAACCTCCACCCCCCCCCCCCCACACACACACACACCTGACTTATGCCACAAACTCAATCCAAAAATCTATTAGCGCCCCCTATAATCAAGCGCCGTAACGTAAGACTGCGTTATATCCCCCCTCTCACCCCCTCCCCCCTTCCCATACCCTTTCTTTGTGCTGGTGTGTGTAGGGGGTGGGGGGTGGGGGGGGATTCTTAAATGGTTACCCCTTTTTTAGTTCATCCACCCCATCCTGTCTCCCTCCTTACCCCTCCCTCCCTCTCTCTCCCCCTTCATACCCTTCGTACTCTTCATCCTCCCTCCCTTAATTATGTACCCTCCCTTCCTCTCCCTCCCTTCTTACCCTCCCACCGCCCCTCCTCTCTCAAATAGCAACTGTTTAAAACATTTCAAAGAGTGCGTGTGTCACCGGTACATATTATAATACACTGGAGTAAATAGGACACATGTTGAAGACTGACTCATATGCACAACACAATTATGAGCCACGAATGATGTTTTGGAAGTAATTATCATAGAAGGCACCAAACCGGGAAGGCTATGTAGCACTGATGTTTTGGAAACATTATGATTCACGTTCAGTCGATGACTGACAATAATGTGACTGAAGATATGATGATTACACCACACACCAGTAGATGAAGAGACGACGACGACGACGTTTCGGGCCGTCGTCTCGTCATATAATAATTCGAAAAATATTTTTCATGTGCAAAATAAATATAGAAAATGTGATTATAAATCTCTTACTACAGAAGACACGTACACAGAGGACAATAAAGAAATGAGTAAAATCGTGAATGAACAATATAAAAACATGTTTAGCATTGTGTTGGACGCGATAAAAGAAGATCCCAAAAGCTTTTTCACAAACTTTGCCCGCACTGAAAGTTATATGTCGGATTTTACAACAAACGCCATGGAGTTTTAAAAGGAAATAGACGATATACTCATGCACTAGGCCAGAGGCCAGATTCCCGGAATTCACTGTAAATAAAACAAATTGAACAAAAAAAAGAACAAAAGCCTGGTGTAATATGGTCACAAAGCCTGAGTCAGAAGACACGAGACGGACCATAAAAGGAAGGAAGCCTGACTCGAGTAAAATGACAGAAACCATAAAAGCCGGGAATCCTGCGCGCGAGTAGAACAGCTCTCGATATTAAATAAACAAATCCACAAGGGCCGTGACGAGGATTCGAACCTGCGTCCGGGAGCATCCCAGACACTGCCTTAATCGACTGAGCTACGACAGGGTTAAAAGGTTTCTCGATATTGTTCACAGGTAAGATCCAGGTAAAAAAACCCTCCTATAAAGTGTAGTTGGTGCGGGGATATAATGGAGCAGGTGCACAATGTCCCTGGGAGGGAGTGAGAAGCAGGCCACTGGCTACACGAGCCATAGGGGCCAGGAGGCAGTAACGCCATAGTCATGCCATCTATATCGGCTCTCAGCCAATAACATAGCGCTCATACTGCAAGTAATCGCTGCCGGGGTATGGAACGAACACGCCAGTGTGTCGATATAGGCCAGGACCTGCGCCACCCCGTGTGTGTGTACTCGCCTAGATGTACTCACTTAGATACACTTCCAGGGTCGAGGTAGCCTCCTAACCCCACCTGTATGACGGTCAACAAGTGTAATACACTGAGGGAAGACGTTGTGGAAGTCACCTCCATCCACATCTTGAAGGACAGAGTCGATAAATAATTCGAATGTCAAAATAGTTCAATTATAACGCAACAGGTATAGCAAAGCTAGTTGGCGCGGCATAGAGACCTCAGTCCCCAGTACCCGTTAATAGGCACCACTCATTTTTCACGTTTTTATCATAGACTCATCACAACATCTCTAATACTGAAAAAGTCTCTCTAACATCTGTGACTCATTTCTGTATAGTTTCCATCTATGACCTGTTCTGCCGTTCCTAACTTTGAACAATGCTGCTTTTTATTGTTTACTCTGTCAATTTCCCTTAGAATTTTATGTTATCATGTACCCTCTATCTTTTCCTCCAGTGTGGTAAGATCCAGTTCTGTCTTTCCTCATAACTTAAACCCTTTAGCTCAGGAACGAGCCTCGTTGCATATCTTTGGACATGTTTAGCTTAATCCTTTATCAGGCGAGGGTTCCGTGCCCGTGATGCATATTCAAGAGCGGGTCTCTGCCAATGCTGTGAGCGTCCGGAAAACCTCTTCGTCCAGGTTTCTGAATGGTAGATAGACGTTAGACAGTATGTTAGTGCAGCTGATGTTATTCTGCTAGTGTGTGTGTGTGTGTGTGTGTGTGTGTGTGTGTGTGTGTGTGTGTGTGTGTGTGTGTGTGTGTGTGTGTGTGTGTGTGTGTGTGTGCGCGCGCGTGTGTGTGTGTGCTTCTGGCGTTAGATTTGGGGTCATGTATACTCCCAGTTCTTTCTCCTTTCCTGAGTGAAGAATCTGTCTCTCCTTCGTCCTTTATTCGTTAGGACTCTTCCCCATACAACAGGCTGCTTCTCTGACTTGAGAACGTCTCTTATAAGGCACAGTATCGAATGCTTTCTGACAATCGCGGAATGTGCAGTCTGTCCATTCTCCCTCCCCCCCTCCCCCCTCACCTTTCTCTATCTTATTGTAGAATTCCAAGACGTTTGTCAAGGATGATTTGCCTTTGCTACATCCGTGCTGGTGTTTAAGGAGAAAATTTAGCAGTTCTAAATGTTCAAGAAGACTGCTGCGGATCAGAGAGGGGGAGGGTTTTTGTGCGTGTGTTTGCGTGTGCGTGCGTGTCATGGTTGGTTGGTAGGGTGCGGCATGACACAAGGGTCCAACTGTCATTGCCAACATTGTGACAAATGTTGGATAGAGTGACATGATTGTTTAATCTATACGGCTGACACCTGGTGATGGTTTCATCTGTTGTTGTGGTGTTGCGTTGCTCTTTATTTGCCCCTGCGGGTGACGGCATGTTTGGTGGCTGTTGCTCATGGTTATTGTCTTGTTGTGTGTGTGGGGGGGTGTGGGGGTGGGGGTGTGTGTGTGGGTGTGTGTGTGTGTGGGGGTGGGGGTGTGTTGGGGTGTGGTTGTGTGTGTGGGTGTGTGTGTGTGTGTGGGTGTGTGTGTGTGTGTGTTTGTGTGGGTGTGTGGGTGTGGGGGGGTGTGTTTGGGGGGGGGGTGTTTGCGTGTGTGGGGGTGTTTGCGTGTGTGGGGGTGTTTGGGGGGGTGTTTGTGTGTGTGGGTGTGTTTGTGTGTGTGGTTTTGTAGATATTAGAAACATGATTGCTGCCTATATTGATGATATAATTTGATGTCTTACCCCCCTCCTCCTGGCTGTTCTATCTCCATCTCCTTCCCTTCCCTTCCCCCTCCCTCCCTTTCTCCCCCTTTCTCCCTCTCCCTCCATCTCTCTCCCCCTCCCTCCTTCTCTGTGCTCTTCTTCCCGTGGCTATCTCCCCTAATGCAGCCCTTCCTAACTGAGCCTGTCATTAATCCGCGGAGAGATAATGAGCGGTGTGCGGAGGTAATAATTAGTGTACCTGTCCGTGTCCAGCCCCCCCAGAGCGACCCTACCTCATGTACGCCGGGGCCCAGCTGGCCGTGGACGCCAGACTCACCACCAGGGAGGGCAACTCCATCACCCTACATTGTGTCGTGGAGGGCGGCAACCCCGCGCCCGCGCTCACCTGGCTCTTGGACGCCCTCGACATCACGCCCTCCAGTCAGGTCAGTTCGTCTCATGCCTTCTCTCTGGTTGGGTGAGTCCTCCATGCCCTCCATCTAGCTTCGTGAGTCCTCCATGCCCTCCATCTAGCTTCGTGAGTCCTCCATGCCCTCCATCTAGCTTCGTGAGTCCTCCATGCCCTCCATTTAGCTTCGTGAGTCCTCCCTGCCCTCCATCTAGCTTCGTGAGTCCTCCATGCCCTCCATCTAGCTTCGTGAGTCCTCCATGCCCTCCATCTAGCTTCGTGAGTCCTCCATTCACTCCATCTAGCTTCGTGAGTCCTCCATTCACTCCATCTAGCTTCGTGAGTCCTCCCTGCCCTCCATCTAGCTTCGTGAGTCCTCCATGCCCTCCATCTAGCTTCGTGAGTCCTCCCTGCCCTCCATTTAGCTTCGAGAGTCCTCCCTGCCCTCCATCTAGCTTCGTGAGTCCTCCATGCCCTCCATCTAGCTTCGTGAGTCCTCCATGCCCTCCATCTAGCTTCGTGAGTCCTCCATGCCCTCCATCTAGCTTCGTGAGTCCTCCATGCCCTCCATCTAGCTTCGTGAGTCCTCCATTCACTCCATCTAGCTTCGTGAGTCCTCCATGCCCTCCATCTAGCTTCGTGAGTCCTCCATTCACTCCATCTAGCTTCGTGAGTCCTCCATGCCCTCCATCTTGCTTCGTGAGTCCTCCATGCCCTCCATCTAGCTTCGTGAGTCCTCCATGCACTCCATCTAGCTTCGTGAGTCCTCCATTCACTCCATCTAGCTTCGTGAGTCCTCCATGCCCTCCATCTTGCTTCGTGAGTCCTCCCTGCCCTCCATCTAGCTCCGTGAGTCCTCCATGCCCTCCATCTAGCTTCGTGAGTCCTCCATGCCCTCCATCTAGCTTCGTGAGTCCTCCATGCCCTCCATCTTGCTTCGTGAGTCCTCCCTGCCCTCCATCTAGCCTGGGGAGGGAGAGAAAGACCTGGGAGTCTTTATTTTAGTTATTCTAATTACATATTAATGCAGTCATTAAGTTTTACATTTAACAAATTCCCCCCAAAAAACATTCTAAATTGTGGATATTTATTTAATCTTAAATAGACAAAAACTTATTAATCGTCTCTCACTCATGTTCTCTCTCACTCATGTTCTCTCTCACTCATGTTCTCTCTCGCTCATGTTCTCTCTCGCTCATGTTCTCTCTCACTCCTGTTCTCTCTCATTCATGTTCTCTCTCATTCATGTTCTCTCTCATGTTCTCTTTCGCTCATGTTCTCTCTCACTCATGTTCTCTCTCACTCATGTTCTCTCTCACTCCTGTTCTCTCTCATTCATGTTCTCTCTCTCATGTTCTCTCTCATTCATGTTCTCTCTCGCTCATGTTCTCTCTCGCTCATGTTCTCTCTCACTCCTGTTCTCTCTCATTCATGTTCTCTTTCGCTCATGTTCTCTCTCACTCATGTTCTCTCTCACTCATGTTCTCTCTCACTCATGTTCTCTCTCACTCCTGTTCTCTCTCATTCATGTTCTCTCTCATTCATGTTCTCTCTCACTCATGTTGTCTCTCACTCATGTTCTCTCACTCATGTTCTCTCTCACTCCTGTTCTCTCTCACTCCTGTTGTCTCTCACTCATGTTCTCTCTCACTCATGTTCTCTCTCACTCCTGTTCTCTCTCACTCATGTTGTCTCTCACTCATGTTCTCTCTCACTCCTGTTCTCTCTCACTCCTGTTGTCTCTCACTCATGTTCTCTCTCACTCATGTTCTCTCTCACTCCTGTTCTCTCTCACTCATGTTGTCTCTCACTCATGTTGTCTCTCACTCATGTTCTCTCTCACTCATGTTCTCTCTCACTCCTGTTCTCTCTCACTCATGTTGTCTCTCACTCATGTTCTCTCTCACTCCTGTTCTCTCTCACTCCTGTTGTCTCTCACTCATGTTCTCTCTCACTCATGTTCTCTCTCACTCCTGTTCTCTCTCACTCATGTTGTCTCTCACTCATGTTCTCTCTCACTCATGTTCTCTCTCACTCATGTTGTCTCTCACTCATGTTCTCTCTCACTCATGTTCTCTCTCACTCCTGTTCTCTCTCACTCATGTTGTCTCTCACTCATGTTCTCTCTCACTCCTGTTGTCTCTCACTCATGTTGTCTCTCACTCATGTTGTCTCTCACCTGCTCATTTACACCTATACTATTCCTCCTTATGTTATGTATATTAAGCGAGTGAAAATAAATATACCCAGCTGGCGTTGTGTATACTCCCCCAGCTGGCGTTGTGTATACTCCCCCAGCTGGCGTTGTGTATACTCCCCCAGCTGGCGTTGTGTATACTCCCCCAGCTGGCGTTGTGTATACTCCCCCAGCTGGCGTTGTGTATACTCCCCCAGCTGGCGTTGTGTATACTCCCCCAGCTGGCGTTGTGTATACTCCCCCAGCTGGCGTTGTGTATACTCCCCCAGCTGGCGTTGTGTATACTCCCCCAGCTGGCGTTGTGTATACTCCCCCAGCTGGCGTTGTGTATACTCCCCCAGCTGGCGTTGTGTATACTCCCCCAGCTGGCGTTGTGTATACTCCCCCAGCTGGCGTTGTGTATACTCCCCCAGCTGGCGTTGTGTATACTCCCCCAGCTGGCGTTGTGTATACTCCCCCAGCTGGCGTTGTGTATACTCCCCCAGCTGGCGTTGTGTATACTCCCCCAGCTGGCGTTGTGTATACTCCCCCAGCTGGCGTTGTGTATACTCCCCCAGCTGGCGTTGTGTATACTCCCCCAGCTGGCGTTGTGTATACTCCCCCAGCTGGCGTTGTGTATACTCCCCCAGCTGGCGTTGTGTATACTCCCCCAGCTGGCGTTGTGTATACTCCCCCAGCTGGCGTTGTGTATACTCCCCCAGCTGGCGTTGTGTATACTCCCCCAGCTGGCGTTGTGTATACTCCCCCAGCTGGCGTTGTGTATACTCCCCCAGCTGGCGTTGTGTATACTCCCCCAGCTGGCGTTGTGTATACTCCCCCAGCTGGCGTTGTGTATACTCCCCCAGCTGGCGTTGTGTATACTCCCCCAGCTGGCGTTGTGTATCCTCCCCCATCTGGCGTTGTGTATACTCCCCCAGCTGGCGTTGTGTATACTCCCCCAGCTGGCGTTGTGTATACTCCCCCAGCTGGCGTTGTGTATACTCCCCCAGCTGGATGAGGTTGTGAGAGTTATACAGTGGTCAAGCCCGGCCACTACAAGAGCGGGCTTGACGTGTGGATCTCCAGGTTGAGTGTGGTGTGTAACGTGTGTGTTTGTGGTACAGGTGCGGTCGGAGTGGGTGGCGGGGGAGGGCGTGTACTACACCGTCAGCAACATCACCCTGGCCAGGGTGACCAAGGACCACCACAACAACACCGTCGCCTGTGTCGTCGCTCACCCGGCGCTCCCAGAACCTCTCCCCGTCCCACTCAGGCTTAATATTGAGTGTAAGTCCGCCGCCACAGTGTGGGTCCTCCGCCACAGTGTGGGTCCTCTGCCACAGTGTGGGTCCTCTGCCACAGTGTGGGTCCTGCCACAGTGTGGGTCCTCTGCCACAGTGTGGGTCCTCTGCCACAGTGTGGGTCCTCTGCCACAGTGTGGGTCCTCTGCCACAGTGTGGGTCCTCTGCCACAGTGTGGGTCCTCTGCCACAGTGTGGGTCCTCTGCCACAGTGTGGGTCCTCCGCCACAGTGTGGGTCCTCTGCCACAGTGTGGGTCCTCTGCCACAGTGTGGGTCCTCTGCCAGAGTGTGGGTCCTCCGCCAGAGTGTATAGGTTCTATAGAGGAGTGCCTGTAGGTATATATGAAACGGCCTATAGTGGTGTTAGTAGTGGTCTTGCTGTTCATTTAACTCATTTTGAAGGAGTACACAGGAGTGACGAGACCCGGGTGTGTGTGTGTGTTCCCCGCACCCGAGTATATTATGTTCCATAAACATAGAACCGAATAATTAAAGTGATATGATGTCAATAATAAGACCAGGTGCAGTTTCCTCTCATTGACCAGGTGCAGTTTCCTCTCATTGACCAGGTGCAGTTTCCTCTCATTGACCAGGTGCAGTTTCCTCTCATTGACCAGGTGCACATTGACCAGGTGCAGTTTCCTCTCATTGACCAGGTGCAATTTCCTCTCATTGACCAGGTGCAGTTTTCCTCTCATTGACCAGGTGCAGTTTCCTCTCATTGACCAGGTGCAGTTTCCTCTCATTGACCAGGTGCAGTTTCCTCTCATTGACCAGGTGCAGTTTCCTCTCATTGACCAGGTGCAATTTCCTCTCATTGACCAGGTGCAGTTTCCTCTCATTGACCAGGTGCAGTTTCCTCTCATTGACCAGGTGCAGTTTCCTCTCATTGACCAGGTGCAGTTTCCTCATATTTCTGAGACTAGGCCTACTGTAGTTTTCACATACTTTTGAGGGTAGGCCTACTATAACTTTATTATATTTCTGAGAGGAGGCCTATTGCATTTTCTCTATACTTGCTGAATATTTGTGTTTGAGTTAGTCTAATATATGTATCATATATTTATTAGTACGTTATGTTATTGTATTCGTGAGTGATCTCGTCATTACTGTGTCAGATATGTTATATATGAAGCAATGTATCTACCAGAGTCGTCCGTCAACTTCCTACCTGGTCGTACCTACCCGAGTCGTCCGTCAACTTCCTACCTGGTCGTACCTACCCGAGTCGTCCGTCAACTTCCTACCTGGTCGTACCTACCCGAGTCGTCCGTCATCTTCCTACCTGGTCGTACCTACCCGAGTCGTCCGTCAACTTCCTACCTGGTCGTACCTACCCGAGTCGTCCGTCAACTTCCTACCTGGTCGTACTTACCCGAGTCGTCCGTCAACTTCAATACAAAGTCGCTCATGCCTATATCGTCTAAAGTGACGACCTCCCTGGGTCGTCCACCAACAGCCCACAGGTCGTCCACCAACAGCCCACAGGTCGTCCACATCTCCCTGGGTCGTCCTCCAACACCCCCCTTCCCGGCAGTGCTCCAGGAAGCCTTCCACCTTTCCTTGGCAACATGAGATAATGAATTCCTTGCATCAGACTGAGATTAGAGGTAATCGGCTCCTGGCCTAGACGGATAAGGCGCTCCACCACCACCGCGGCGAGGGAGACAACAGAGTGGATACCCTGATTGCCCCGTACAGAACGGTACTGTGGGAGAAAGCAGGTAGAGAGGGCGAGTACGGTACTCAAGGAGAGGGGCTATCAGGATGAGTGCGGTACTTTTATGGTGGGAGCTGCTATCAGTACTGAGGGAGAAAGCAGGGAGAGAGGGCGAGTACGGTACTCAAGGAGAGGGGCTATCAGGATGAGTGCGGTACTTTTATGGTGGGAGCTGCTATCAGGGTGAGTTGGATACTGAGGAAAGAGGAGACTATCAGGGTGAATACGGAATTTTGGAAGCAGGAGGTTATCAGGGTGAGTATGGTACCGAGGGAGAGAGCAAGGCGAGAGGGTAAGAAAATCTAATCACATTATTGTTAATGAGATTGTAGTGAGTGAGATTTAGGCGTCGGCGGCGCCACGTTCCCGCCACACACACACACTCTTCGCTGGCCAATCACGTCGCGCCGTTTCCTCTGGTTTTGATTTTAGGTGCAGTAGCCAATCGCAGCCAGCCGTCGCTAGCCTCCCCAGTCTGGGAGAGAAGTGTATGTCCCCCTCCGGTAATTCATCTCAACATCGTGTATATCGTATTCTTCCGTCGTTGCCTCCTGTGAGACGAGCCCGGGCACCCTGAGCCATTTGTTGTTGTTCAGTCCACACACTTAATAAGCGTTCCTGTCTGTCTCTCCGCTTTCTATAGTGTCATTCTTTCTCCAGCGAAGGATTTCAGACCGGGGGATACAGATTTTAGGATATATATATATATATATATATATATATATATATATATATATATATATATATATATATATATATATATATATATATATATATATATATATATATATATATAATATAATATAATATAATATAACACACTATGTAATACTCTGGTGGCAACTTTTTTAAAGACTTGTCAAGCCTAGCGTGACGGGCAGCTCCACATTTACAACAGACGCTATTTTGCCTTTGTGTTGGTGTGGCATCAAGTGAAATGTATACTCCCAGAAGTTTTTCCTCCTCTCACTGAAGAAGTTTCTTCCCTTTTAGCCTGTACTGACCTCCTGGTTTTCTCCCTTCTTCCCCCCTCCTCATAACTTTACACTTATCAGGATTAAAGTCTAGTAGTTGTGGTCGTTGCTTGCCCCTCCTCCTCCCTGCCGTCAGTGTGTGGAGTGAGGTCGTCGCTTGACCCCCTCCTCCCTAGCTACCAGCATGGTCGTGGCCAGCTCCTCAGGGTCGTAGAGCAGCCAGCCACATAACTTTCCGCCGCACTAGGCGCCCTTACCAACAATACAAGACAAATTCAGTATTACACAGACAGTTGGCTGGGGCATAAGGCGACGAACATTATAGCACCAGGAGCTTTGGTGGGAAAATATTATTAGGAGGGAGGGAGAGTATGTATGTATATATGTGTGTGTCTATGTCTATTTTTTTTTGTGTGTGTGTATATATATATATATATGTCGTACCTAGTAGCCAGAACGCACTTCTCAGCCTACTATGCAAGGCCCGATTTGCCTAATAAGCCAAGTTTTCATGAAGTAATGTTTTTTCGACTACCTAACCTACCTAACCTAACCTAACCTAACTTTTTCGGCTACCTAACCTAACCTAACCTATAAAGATAGGTTAGGTTAGGTTAGGTAGGGTTGGTTAGGTTCGGTCATATATCTACGTTAATTTTAACTCCAATAAAAAAAATTGACCTCGTACATAATGAAATGGGTAGCTTTATCATTTCATAAGAAAAAAAATAGAGAAAATATATTATTTCAGGAAAACTTGGCTTATTAGGCAAATCGGGCCTTGCATAGAAGGCTGAGAAGTGCATTCTGGCTACTAGGTACGACATATATATATATATATATATATATATATATATATATATATATATATATATATATATATGCAAACAAGCCTGAATGGTCCCCAGGACTATATACAACTGAAAACTCACACCCCAGAAGTGACTCGAACCCATACTCCCACAACTGGTATGTACAGGGACGCCTTAATCCGCTTGACCATCACGACCGGACATAAGGAAGTGATAGCCGAGGCTATATGAACCACTTCCCCGCCGGCACTCGGATGGTAATCTTGGGCATAGCATTTTATCAAATCACCTCATTCTTTGGGGCACACGTGAGGAACACAAATGCAAACAAGCCTGAATGGTCCCCAGGACTATATACAACTGAAAACTCACACCCCAGAAGTGACTCGAACCCATACTCCCACAACTGGTATGTACAGGGACGCCTTAATCCGCTTGACCATCACGACCGGACATAAGGAAGTGATAGCCGAGGCTATATGAACCACTTCCCCGCCGGCACTCGGATGGTAATCTTGGGCATAGCATTTTATCAAATCACCTCATTCTTTGGGTATGTACGTCCCTGTACATACCAGTTGTGGGAGTATGGGTTCGAGTCACTTCTGGGGTGTGAGTTTTCAGTTGTATATAGTCCTGGGGACCATTCAGGCTTGTTTGCATTTGTGTTCCTCACGTGTGCCCCAAAGAATGAGGTGATTTGATAAAATGCTATGCCCAAGATTACCATCCGAGTGCCGGCGGGGAAGTGGTTCATATAGCCTCGGCTATCACTTCCTTATGTCCGGTCGTGATGGTCAAGCGGATTAAGGCGTCCCTGTACATACCAGTTGTGGGAGTATGGGTTCGAGTCACTTCTGGGGTGTGAGTTTCAGTTGTATATAGTCCTGGGGACCATTCAGGCTTGTTTGCATTTGTGTTCCTCACGTGTGCCCCAAAGAATGAGGTGATTTGATAAAATGCTATGCCAAGATTACCATCCGAGTGCCGGCGGGGAAGTGGTTCATATAGCCTCGGCTATCACTTCCTTATGTCCGGTCGTGATGGTCAAGCGGATTAAGGCGTCCCTGTACATACCAGTTGTGGGAGTATGGGTTCGAGTCACTTCTGGGGTGTGAGTTTTCAGTTGTATATAGTCCTGGGGACCATTCAGGCTTGTTTGCATTTGTGTTCCTCACGTGTGCCCCAAAGAATGAGGTGATTTGATAAAATGCTATGCCCAAGATTACCATCCGAGTGCCGGCGGGGAAGTGGTTCATATAGCCTCGGCTATCACTTCCTTATGTCCGGTCGTGATGGTCAAGCGGATTAAGGCGTCCCTGTACATACCAGTTGTGGGAGTATGGGTTCGAGTCACTTCTGGGGTGTGAGTTTTCAGTTGTATATAGTCCTGGGGACCATTCAGGCTTGTTTGCATTTGTGTTCCTCACGTGTGCCCCAAAGAATGAGGTGATTTGATAAAATGCTATGCCCAAGATTA